AGCGAGGTGGGTGTCGGTCTCTTCTCCCAAGTAACTAGCAATAGGACGAGAGGAAACGGCCTCAAGTTGCACCAGGGGAGGTTTAGATTGGACCTGAGGAAAAGTTTCTTTACTGAAAGAGTGGTTAAACATTGGAACAGGCTGCCCAGGGAGGTGGTTGAGCCCCCATCCCTGGAGGTATTTAAAAGACGTGTAGATGAGGTGCTTAGGGACATGGTTTAGTGGGCATGGTGCTGTTGGGTTGACGGTTGGACTCGGTGATCTTAGAGGTCTCTTCCAACCTTAATGATTCTATGATTCTATGATGCGCTCATAAAGCTCAGAGAAGAACGTAGGGAGTGACCACAGCTATCGTAAAGGAAGCTGAACTTATTCCAACACCAAGGGGACCGGAGAGTGGCCTTTGTTGCAGATAAATGGCAGTATCAGTTGAGTGGGTCAACTGGTTATGTACATGGCCTTCCTAAAATAAGGAATAGAAAGTATTATCTACCTGAGCCAGCCAGACCAACATGGGGGAAGTGTATATGTGGCTCAGCCCAACATAGAGTATAAAAATTGAACACCCAGAAAAATGAACTTCGAAGAGAGCAACATGCTTGAGTTGGCTTCAACCCATGTATTCCTTCTCAGCAACTAGGGATGCCCAGCATCTTGACGGTAAGCATACAGAGAGCAGTAATGTGAATCCCGTTTGTATTGTGATTCAACTGTATATTGCAATTGCTATATTGTGCTTGTGCTGTGATTTCAGTATAATGCTGTATCACTTTTCTAAACCAAAATCCCATGTATCTTCAAATAAGTAAATTTAGTATTAAAACATTAAACCCTCCTCATGTGGAATAGCTAAAAGAACCTGGTCAGAGAGTACTGGACTCTGACAGAGGGAGTCTTTTTGCTAGACCCCAATTGTTGTTAGGCCTAAGACAACTGACCTTATCTCTCCCTACATACCCTTGACAGCCCAACCTATCCCAATGAGTCCTGAAAGCCATGACTAAAGGACTTCAGCATTACCTTTAAGACTGTAACAGCTAGGGAGTGTCAGTTACTGTGTTATTGAGAGAGAAAGAGAGATCTGGACCACACAGAGCCATTTTGGCCTGAGAGGGACTGGGAGAAGAACCTTGCTCCCAGAATGTGAGACAACATGGACAATAGTCAGCCAGCGAATCCAACAACCCAGAGGGGAAAGAATGTAAAGAGATTTCACACAAAACAGTACCATAGACATCACTACCTAACAGAATGTAAACATCCACCATCAGCCACTTGGTTTGTCTCTCTTTGCAAAAAGAGTCCTACAGAACTAGGATGCACTGTTAAACTAACAGGCAACAGCAAATAAACATTAGCCAAAGTTGGAATAAGAATCAAATCAGTTTAAAGTCATTGGGTATTATGGCTGTCTAATATACTTATAAAGGGCCAAAGTTGCTGGCAGTGGAACTAAATAATCTGCATCATTCTTACGTTATTTCACTGCATGATTTTTTTTTCCTAGAAATACAATAAATATACAGAGAAGGTACGGATCTCTCTCTTCCTCTTCACTAAATAGCTTACTCTGTTACCTGTCTGCTTTGCTATTTATTTCAAAAAATTGTATCCCTTTTCCTCTCAGAAATAAATGACTTGGTGGCTGTTAATTAACATGTGGCGGGCTAGAAAAGACAACCATATACGGGATGCCTGTCCCAGCTACACAGTTATACTCCTTGTCCACCTCTCTCCCCCCACTTCAGAAACCCTGCAGTCTTCATAGTCTTACCATGCCATGTTCACTTCAATATGGGCATCCAAAATTGCAACAACATCTGCAGTTGATGCCTCCCAGCCAGAAATCCGGGCTTGTGTTAGGCCTTGTCTTTTCTGATGTCTGATGATCTTCATCATTCCAGGTTGCTTTACATTGTAATTTTTGATGTGTGTTTCCAAAGGTCCTTTCAGATCATCTAAAACCAGCCCCCACATTTTAATGATTTAAAAAAAAAAAAAAAAAAAAAAGTTAA